TGGTTGTAATTTTTAAACTACAGAGGTAGTGGAAAATGGGTAGTGTTTAAAATCTGTGAATGTGCAGAGTTAAGTTTCGATCAGTTTGTGACAATATCTTGGAACATATGGGTTGACTGAAATGGTATTAAAAGTGTTTGCATTTTTGCTACAAGGGACCCATGATGTGGCCTGGTAGTTTACCTGTTGTGTACATCAGGGTATGCATCACAATTAGAAATTCACTTCTACATTTCCCACAGCTAAGGCGTCAGCGTGGCCTTTTCCATTTCAGCCACATGCAAGAATTACCAACTGCATTCTACATATTGCATAAGGAAATTTAATTCCAAAGCACAGAAAGAAATGAAGTATAACCAAATGTACAATCTCACAAAAATGTCTTCATGATTAATAATATTAATTTTCTGAAAGCAATTCAGAATTATATTCCCAGCACCAGACGTTTATTGAATGGATGAATGAATGCAATTTTAAAAAGGTTATGAGACAAGAGACAGAAATTGATAATGTGCATAATCTTTTATCCTTACAGACATAATTAAGTGAAACTTATTATATACACCTGAAATCTACCACATAAGAAACAATATAAAATTAAGATACCTCATGTGAAAGAATTAAAGGGACATTGAAAATAATTTACCTTTTCATTTTGTATCTGATGGAGTATGGAAGAGAGCAAAATGTGGGGAGTTAAATAGATAATGATCATTATCCTGGTATTTCTATTATTAGTTATGAGTATTTGGAGAAATCAGGATCTCCCATCATTCCAGTGCCTTCCTCTGAAAAATGGGAAAAGTTTTTATCACAGAAGGAGGAAAATTAAATGACTAACTTGTACATTCTAGGGATTTTATAACTTCTCATAAAATATTACTCAACCTCTCATTTCCTTTTCATCATTGCAATCAGCATGTAAGTATATTAATGTAGTATTTTTCTTATTAGTAAACATTATTTATTAGTTACTCTACATAAAGAAAGATACTCATACATAAAGCTAAATACTGGGAAAAAGAAAAGAAAAGAAAGAAAACCAAGAGGAAAAAAGAGTGCCATTTAGATGTGTAAAGCTTCACAGCAAATTTTAGACACATCTCATGCCTCAGACTTTGAACTATATGGAAAGGAAAATGAATGAAGAAAGAAATTTTTTTTATTTTTAAAGATTTATTTTTATTTATTTGGAAGAGTTAAAGAGAGAGAGGTCTTCCATCTGCTGATTCACTCCCCAAATGGCTGCAACAGCTGAAGCTGAGCCAATCCTAAGCAAGGAGCCAGGGACTTCTTCCAGGTCTCCCATGTGGCTGCAGGGGCCTAAGCACTTGAGCCTTTCCAGGCCCACAGCAGAGTGCTGGATTATAAGTGGAACAGCTGGGACTAGAACCTATGACATATCGGATGCCAGCACTTCAGGCAGGGGCTTTAACCCGCTGTGCCACAGGGCTGGCCCCCGAAAGTAATTTATTTAGACTGTACTTTTTGTGTCTGTGGTATACATTCATTTAAAGTAAACAACTATTATTGTCTAGTCATTTATCAAGCACCAGGCACTATGGAAAAAAAAAGCTCAATAATACAAGAGGAATTTGGAATGAAATAGTCTCTTCCATCAAAAAAGATGACAGTCTGGAAACATAGATGCACCTGACTCCTGAAGATTCATGTTACAAAGGAGATGAGCCCTTGCTGTTGGCACATACAGTAGGGACCCCTGAAGTAGTTGGGAATGGGTATGGGGGAATGCTGTGTTAAAGGGATATTTGAGACTTAGGTACTAGCAGGGTTTTTAAGTCACAGGAGGGCTGCAAGGCAGTATGGGGATAGCATGCTGGTCAAAGAAATCATCTCTGCAAAAATCCCGAGTTAGAAGAGAGTGGTTTGTGTAGGGACTGAAGTAAAGCTTATATGGATGGAACTCTAGTCTGCAAAGGAGAGAATACAGGAAGAGAAATGAGAAGAGGCTAGAGGAAGTTCAGGGCCAAATAAGGTGGGATCTTATCTGCTAGGTTAAATATTTTTAAGTTAAATATTTGTGGACTTTATGATCAATATGTAGCCACTTAAAGGTCTGAAACAGGGGATTGCAATAGTTTTGTGTTTTAAGAATATTTTTCATTGCAGTGGGAACAAGGAATTTGAAAAAGGAAAGAATCGGCTGGTGTCACGGCTCACTAGGCTAATCTTCCTCCTGTGACGCCGGCACCCCAGGTTCTAGTCCGGTAAGGGTGCCAGATTCTGTCCCGGTTGCTCCTCTTCCAGTCCAGCTCTCTACTGTGGCCCAAGGAGGCAGTGGAGGATGCCCCGAGTGCTTGAACCCGCATGGGAGACCAGGAGAAGCACCTGGCTCCTGGCTTCAGATCAGCTGTAGTGGCCATTTGGGGGGTGACCCAATGGAAGGAAGACCTTTCTGTCTTTCTCTCTCTCACTGTCTAACTCTGCCTGTCCAAAAAAAATAAATAAATAAATAAAAAAGAAGAAGAAGAAGAAGAAGAAGAAGAAGAAGAAGAAGAAGAAGAAGAAGAAGAAGAAAGAAAAAGGAAAGAATCAGAGCCGGTGCTGTTTAAGGGGATAAGCTGCCTACAATACTGGCATCCCATATGAGTGCTGGTTCTTGTCCCCACTCTCCACTTCTGATCCAGCTTCCTGATAATGGCCTGGGAAAGCAGCAGAAGATGGTTGTCCAGATGCTTGGGTGCCTGTAGCCATGTGGGGCACCTGGATGAAATTCCTAGATCCTGGCTTCAGCCTGGCCCAGCCCCGACTGTTACGGCTATTTGGGGAGTGAACCAGGAGATGGAAGTTCTCTCTGTATGTCTCCCTCTCTCTCTCTGTAACTCTGCCTTTCAGAAAAGAACTAGGAAATTGAGGATATACTCATTCAAGGCACAGGTAATGGTGGTTTACATCTGGTGGTGGCAGTGGAGATGAATAGAGGAGGGTAGGTTAGGGAGGTGAATGTTGGCATCAACCAGGATTTGCCCAGCAGGCTAACTCAGCAGACCTCAAAAGTCCTCCCAAACTCCAATACCCAATTCCATACCTGCAAAATTTTAATGCAACCTTCACGTGTAGCCACAAATTATTTCCTTCCAACAGTAAGAGTTAGTTGCTTACTCTTGTAGCATCTGGCAAATGCATCCTTTAAAGCAGTATTTTTCAACCCTGGAAGTACATTAAAATTGTCTAGCCTGCATTTCATTCTGGACAGACTCCTTAGGAGTGTGGACTGAGTCAGGATAGTGCTTAAAAGCTGCCCAGGTGGTTCTAACATGTATTCAGTGATGGGACCCAGAACTTTAAAAAGCACTCACTATTCTAGCTTTTTTTTGTCCTCTCCACTAGGCTATATGCTCACTGTGGGCCAAGGCTGCTTATGAATTTTTGCATCCAGAGGGCTTAGCACAATAATGAATATTAATGCACTGTTATTTTTTAAGTAAACTAAGATACATAAATTGGATTACTTTTAGCCATTTGGGGCTTCTCTCTCTATGAAGATAAGTGGGAATAATTCAGGGAGATATTTAGGAGTATTCCCTTATAAGCTGTTCCATTAAGGTGGGAACAGACATTCAAAATGTTATTGGAAATAAAGTATTAAAACTGTGCAAGTACTGTCAAAATGTAAATGTTGTCCACAGAAATATATTTTGATTTGGGTTCTGCCTAATTATTTATTTTATAATCTACAGAGAAAGATAAGGCTTTTTTAATGTATATGTTTCAATAAATGCTCTCAAGTACACCAGCTAATTGGCTGCTTTGTCCCTACAGTCCAATCTATTCCCAGGCATACAGGGACTCTCTAGGCTTACAGGAGAATGAAAGTTGCAGGCTACTTTATTTTACTTATGCTCTTTTCATCTAGTTTTGGGGGACAATCTTAGAACCTGATTTATCTGAAAGACTTATTATATCACAAGTTTGGAATGACATTGCAACTTGTCCATTTTCACAATTCATGAGAATGATTTTGAAGAACCTTAAAAATCAAACCAAGATGGAGTGACTTAAGCTAACACTATTAAAAACAAGAAGTCACCTTTGCCCCAAATAAAATTAAAGTTTAAAAATTATAGCCCTAAACTTTTCCCCCCAAAGCTAAAATTAGGTGCAGCTATAAAAATAAGGGACCCTATGCTTAACTAGCTGCGACACTTGTGCCTGGCTGTGCTAAGACATAACCCAGTTTGTATACCTCCTAATACTCAAATAACGGTGTGGGAAGCGGGACGCTGCTCTCCCTCCAGGGGAACGAAGGGAGCGAGACGTCGTCCCCCTCAGGGTGAACAAGATGACGCTGACGGGGAAAGGAACTGCTAAAGAAGTAAACAACAAAATGGCGATGAGGTGCATGCCTCCCATGTGATCCCATAGCTGATTGGATAGAAGGCGCATGCCCTTCACATGATCAGCTCACGGATTGGACTGCTGTGTGCATGGACACTATAGAGCTTTTGATTGGTCGCTGCGGGTATATAAACCATGTGGCTTTGTGCTGGGGGCACTCTCTGGACTCCCGAGTTCAAAAGGCCCATCTGCGCAGATGCTGAATAAATCCTCTTGCTTTTGCATCAGCTGGTCTGGACTCTGAGTCTTTGGGGTGTGCCTCTCGACGTGTTAGCATCCTCACTCAGAGGGTCTAACATTTGGGGGCTCATCTGGGATTGGTGCGCCCCCAGACTCAATTCCAGGTTCGGTTGGAGGTAAGAGCTAGCTCAGTTTTCGTTTCGTGTTGCTGTTGTGTATGTTTATGTCTTCAGTGTTTCGAAAAATTGTACCTGTACATGGCTTGTTTTGCTTGGGCCAGCGGGGGAGGCAGACATGCCCTGAGACCCCTGGTCCTGCTCTGGAGGACGCTCCAAGAGTTTTGTGGGGGAAAGAAAGAGATCAGGTCTCTCTCCTCCGCGGGCAACCCAGCGGTGATGAGGCGCTCCTCTCTCGATTTGTACTTTCGGTTTGTTGCCAGTCAGTTGCCGCCCGGCTTGTGTGGTTTGTTCTGTTCGTCTGTCTAGTCGGTGTCCTGTACGTTGTCGATTCAATTGTTTTACCCATGGGTCAACAACTAACTACTCCTTTAAGTCTGACTTTAGGACATTGGAAAGAGGTCACGAAACGGGCACATAACCAGTCAATGGAAGTGCGCAAGAAAAAGTGGCTGGCTTTCTGCACCTCTGAGTGGCCCTCCCTTGAGGTCAGATGGCCTCAGGACGGCACTTTTAACCTTACTATTATTTTACAGGTCAAAGAGAAGGTTTTCCAACCCGGGACCGCATGGACATCCGGACCAAGTGCCTATATTGTCACCTGGGAGAGTCTCTCCCGAGATCCCCCAACATGGGTTAAGCCTTTCCTTTCCTCTTTAGGGGCACAGACCCCGAAACCTGGCCCCGGGTCTTCTTCAACCCCACTCGTGCCCTTACCTTCGGCGCTGCTCACTTCTTCTTCCCTTCTTCCCCTGAATGAACCACCTAAGCCTATGCCAAAAACTCCACCAGTTCTCCCAGACACTCAGGAAAATCTTCTACTTCTAGACCCTCCTCCTCCGTACCCTCCTCGGGTCCCACCACAGTTGGTTCAGGAACCCCAGGACCCTGAGCCACCCTCCCCCAACTCCACCAAAATGGGAGGGTTAGAGCCCTCCTCCTCCCTACCCTCTACTTGCCTGTGGTTGCGGAGGGAACGTGCCGGTGGCCCGGAGGGTGTCTGGTCCTCTCAAGCATTTCCTTTAAGGTTGATGGCCGGCCAGATTCAGTATTGGCCATTCTCCACCTCCGACCTATACAACTGGAAGACCCACAATCCCTCCTTTTTCCAAGACCCCCAAGCTTTGACCAGATTAATTGAATCCATTCTACTCACTCACCAACCCACCTGGGATGATTGTCAGCAACTTTTACAGGCCCTCCTCACCACGGAGGAAAAACAGCGAGTCATATTAGAGGCTCGTAAAAATGTGCTGGGAGCAGATGCCAGGCTGGCCCAACTGCCTAACAAGATCGAGGACGTCTTCCCTCTGACTCGCCCGGAGTGGGACTACAACACGGTGGCCGGTAGGGAGCGACTGCGTCTCTATCGCCAGACTCTGTTAGCGCGTCTCAAAGGGGCAGGGAAGCGCCCCACCAATTTGGCCAAGGTACGTGCGATTATCCAGGGTCAGAAAGAGACACCGGCAGGGTTCTTAGAACATTTAATGGAAGGTTATCACATGTATACCTCTTTTGACCCTTTGGCCGCCTAACGCCAGTTGGATGTAATTATGTCGTTATTCAGACAATCGGCTCCCGATATCCGAAACAAATTACAACAACTGGATGGGCTGCAAGAGTATACATTACAGGACCTACTAAAGGAGGCAGATAAAATTTTCAATAAAAGGGAAACACAGGAGGAAAAGGAAGAAAGATTATGCAAAGAGCAAGAGCGGAGGGAGGACATCTGGGACAAAAAGCGGAATTGAGAATTAACCAAAATTTTGGCCACAGTAGTGCAAGGTGCAGGGCAAGGTAGGCCAGGACAGAATAAGACCCTGGGAGACAAGAGAAGGCCCCGAGTAGAATGAGACCAATGTGCCTACTGCAAAGAAAAGGGACACTGGGTTAAGGACTGCCCTAAGGTGTCTCAGGAAACTAAGAAAAAGACAGTTCCAGTCCTGCCCTTGGGGGAAGACAACTAGGAAAGTCAGGGCCAGGAACCCCCCCTCAGCCCAGGGTAACTCTTGACGTAGGGGGGCACCCGGTGACCTTCCTGGTAGATACGGGAGCACAACATTCGGTGCTGACCGAGGCCAGGGGGCCTCTGAGTTCTAAAACTTCTTGGGTCCAGGGAGCTACTGGGGGAAAATTGTACAGATGGACAACTGAATGAAAGGTCCATTTGAACACCGGACAGGTGACTCACTTGTTCCTACTGGTGCCAGATTGCCCATACCCCCTATTGGGCTGGGATTTGCTTTCAAAAGTGGGGGCCCAAATTCACTTTCATGATAAGGGGATTTCAGCCACCAGCCCGGAAGGGCAGCCCCTTCAAATACTGACAATACGCCTAGAGGATGAACATCGATTGCTCAAAAAAACCCCAGCTAATACAACCTCTCTAGACCCCAAGTGGTTAATGGACTTTCCCCAAGCTTGGGCAGAAACGGCCGGAGTAGGATTGGCTGTCAACCAACTGCCCCTAATAATTGACTTAAAATCCTCGGCCACCCCAGTGTCAATCCGGCAGTATCCTATGAGCAAAGAGGCCAAGGAGGGCATCAGGCCCCATATAGAGAGACTGTTGCAGTTGGGCATCTTAAAACCGTGCCACTCGCCTTGGAATACCCCCCTCCTCCCAATAAAAAAAAGCCAGGCATGGGGGACTACAGGCCAGTGCAGGACCTATGGGAAGTTAACCGAAGGACGGGAGACCTGCACCCTACTGTGCCCAATCCTTACAACCTGCTAAGTACCCTACCACCAAGTCATCAATGGTATATGGTACTAGACCTTAAAGATGCGTTCTTTTGTTTAAGACTGAGTCCTCAAAGTCAACCCCTGTTCCCCTTCGAGTGGAAAGACCCGGAGGCCGGACTTTCTGGACAACTCACTTGGACGAGATTGCCACAAGGGTTTAAAAATTCGCCTACCCTGTTTGATGAGGCCCTGCACCAGGATCTAGCAGCCTTCCGAGTCAACAACATCAGCATAGTCCTCCTTCAATGTGTGGACGACCTGCTTTTGGTGGCAGAAACCAAACAGGACTGTCTAAAAGGTACGGGGTCCCTGCTAAAAAAATTGGGGGAATTGGGATACAGAGCCTCCGCGAAAAAGGCGCAAGTGTGCAAAAGACAGGTGACCTATCTGGGATACCTGCTAGAAGGTGGTCAGTGGTGGCTAACAGAGGGCCAGAAACAGACAGTTGCCCTAATTCCACTACCCAAGAGCGCCCGACAAATGCAAGAATTTCTTGGCAGCGCAGGCTTCTGCCGACTATGGATACCAGGATTTGCGGAATTAGCAGCACCTCTGTACCCCCTCACTAAACCCAATGCCCCCTTTATATGGGAAAAAGAACATCAAATGGCGTTTGATCAAATCAAAAGGGCTCTATTGTCAGCCCTTGCCCTAAGCCTCCCCGATGTGACTAAGCCCTTCACATTGTACACTGATGAACGAAGGGGAATAGCAAAGGGCGTCCTGGTTCATAAACTGGGACCTTGAAAAAAGCTGGTGGCTTACTTCTCAAAAAAATTGGATAATGTGGCCGCTGGTTGGCCCCCATGTCTGTGCATAGTGGCCGCAGTGGCAGTCCTTGTCAAAGACGCAGATAAATTGACTCTAGGACAATCCCTCACCGTGGTGGCCCCCCATGCCATTGACACCATCATCCGGCAGCTGCCAGATAGGTGGCTCTCCAATACCCGAATGACTCACTACCAAGCCATGTTGCTCAACCCGGAGCAGATTCAGTTCGGACCTGCCACCCCCCTGAACCCGGCTATCCTGCTCCCGGACATGGAGCCCGGCGCCTGGGTACCTCATGACTATCATCAAATCCTGGTTGAGGCCCATGGCACCCAGGAGGATCTGACAGATCGGCCGTTACCAGACGCGGAACACACCTGGTACACCGACCAGAGCAGTTTTCTACAAAACGGTGAGCGGAGGGTGGGGGCGGCCATGGTGGATGGACACTCCATAATATGGGCAAGCGCCTTGCCTGCGGGAACCTCGGCTCAGAAAGCCAAGCTTGTGACCATCACACAGGCCCTTAAACAAGCTAGCGGGGAAAAAAGTTAACATCTATACTGATAGCCTCTATGCGTTCGCTACCGCCCATATACATGGAGAAATTTACCGAAGAAGGGGCCTCTTAACCTCAGCAGGAAAAGATATAAAAAACAAGACTGGAATTTGAGACCTCTTACAGGCGCTTTTCCTACCTAAAAAGTTGAGCATAATTCACTGTCCTGGACACCAGCGGGGAAGTGACCCTATAACAAGAGGAAATAAAATGGCGGATGAGGTTGCTAGAACGGCTGCGGTAGGCCCGCAGACTCTACACCTGAGTACTGCAGTGGCCCAGCATACGCCAGACTGCGGGGTCCTCCCCTTCCCCTATTTAGATCAAGATTTGGATGAAATCCAGTGGCTTGGGGCAGATTACGATGAACAAAAGGGAGTTTGGACACTCCAGGACAAAGTTGTCCTGCCCCACAAAATGGCCCATGAACTAATAACTCGACTCCATAGTTGGACTCATTTGGGACATAAAAAACTAAAAATGCTGCTGTGACAAAAAGATCAACCTTACTTTATCCCAAGGCTTAACTCTCTAGTTCAACAGGCCACCGAGTCCTGCATTCCCTGAGCGAAGGTCAATGCAGGGCGCCTCAAGCTGCCGGAAGGAACAAGGTTCCAGGGGGATCGACCCAGAGTCAATTGGGAGGTAGACTTCACCGAGGTTAAGCCAGGAAAATATGGTAACAAGTATCTCCTAGTTTTTGTAGACACCTTCTCTGGGTGGGTGGAAGCCTTTCCCACCAAACGAGAAACCGCTCAAGTGGTTGTCAAAAAAATCATCGAGGACATCTTCCCGCAATTTGGTCTCCCTCAGGTAACTGCGTCTGATAACGGGCCTGCCTTCGTCTCCCAGGTAAGTCAGCTGGTGGCCAAAACGCTGGGGATAAACTGGAAATTACATTGTGCTTATAGGCCCCAAAGTTCAGGACAGGTAGAACGGACAAATAGAACAATTAAAGAGACCTTAACTAAATTAGCTATGGAGACTGGCACTAGAGACTGGGTCCAACTCCTCCCTGTGGTCTTGTTCCGGGTCCGGAACACCCCCTCCCACCATGGGTTAACCCCATATGAAATATTGTATGGGGGACCCCCTCCTGCCGCAAACCTGCTTGACCCTATACTTGACCCCTTTATTAACGCGCCTAATTTGCAGGCACGACTAAAGGCGCTCCAGATCATACAGAACCAGATCTGGAGACCTCTAGCTGCGGCCTACCGGACCGGGAATGCATCAGTCCCTCACCCCTTCCAAATCAGCGACTCTGTCTGCGTCCGAAGACACCAGTCTAAGACTCTCGAACCCCGCTGGAATGGCCTCTACTCTGTACTGTTGACCACTCCGACAGCTCTTAAGGTAGACGGAATCACCACCTGGGTTCACGCGTCCCACATCAAGCGAGCACCATTGGGAGCTGAAAGAGCCTCGGGTAAGCCAGCACAATGGAAATTGCAACGCACTCAAAATCCGCTCAAGCTAAGACTTTTAAAAACTGTGTAATGTTCTTAACTTTGCTTGCCTCAGCTGTAATGACTGAAAATCTCCATGCCCCCCAAAACCTTACTTGGCAGATAGTGTCAGCCTCGGGTAGCATTGTATGGTCCTGTAGCCACCTCGCACCTGCTTGGACGTGGTGGCCATCCCTTACCCCGGATTTGTGTGCAGTGGTGGATAATCTGGAAACCTGGGAACCCCCAGAGTTCAGAATAAACATGGGTGGTGGGGGGCCTACTGGCGCACGACTCGGCACGGGAAGCAACCTCCAATACCTGGCAGGGTGCTCCACGACCGATGCGCGAACCTCCCTCCAAAGTCTTGATTTTTTTGTGTGCCCCCAGAGGGATAAGGGGGATCCTTACAAACGTAGCTGTGGCGAGCCAGAACATTTCTACTGTAAAGCTTGGGGTTGCAAAACCACAGGGAACACTTACTGGAACCCCTCCTCTAGCTGGGATCTCATTAGGGTCACGCGGGCTCTGCCGAGGGGGGGCCAACCCACAGTGGCTAACCCCCTAAACATAACCTTTACCAGCCATGGGTGGAACAATCGGGATTGGATAAAAGGTAAACAATGGGGCCTCCGGCTGTATCAGCACGGCCATGATAAGGGTCTCATTTTTACAATCCAGCTGAGTAGAAGAAGCCCAAACCCCGTGTCAGTAGGTCCCAACCGTGTTTTAACAAAACAAGGACCCCCGCTAGGGAAACACGGTAGGGGAGTAGCCGCCGGGTGTCCAGCCGCTCCGCCGGCCTCCTCCCCGCAGGCAGCCGCCCCAACCCAACCAACCCCGAGCACCCATGGGTCTGGGGCACCCTCTACCCCGACTCAATCTCTCTTGAATATCAGCAGGTCTGGAGTGCCCCCTCTAGCAACCAAACTTCCTTCACCAACTGAGCAAAGACTGCTTAACCTCATTAAAGGGGCTTATTTTGCTATTAATCTCACCAATCCCAACCTAACCTCCTCCTGCTGGCTTTGCCTGACCTCCAGCCCACCTTATTATGAAGGCATAGCTGTTGCTAGACCCTATAATGCTACCAAAAGTACTCAATGCTCATGGGAGAAGTCACGACCCAGGCTCACTCTAACCCAGGTTTCCAGTAAAGGAACATGCCTAGGAAATCCTCCCCCATCCCATGCCCAACTGTGTAATGTTACCATCCCCAGTGCAAATCTAACAACCTATGCCCATGTTAGTCCAGGCTATGGAAACTGGTGGGCTTGTAACAAGGGACTTACCCCATGTGTGTCTCCCTCGGTCCTTAGTACCACCCGGGATTTTTGCATTATGGTACAGCTAGTGCCTAAAATAATTTACCACCCAACCAACACCCTAGAAGATTCCTATGATAGACACCCCACCCGCTTTCGTAGAGAGCCAGTTTCTCTGACCCTAGCAGTCCTATTAGGGCTCGGAGTTGCGGCTGAGGTTGGAACTGGAACAGCAGCCTTAATCCAGGGTCCTCAATATTACAATGACTTAAAAAATGCCATTGTTGAGGACATATAGGCCCTGGAACAATCTATAACTAGGCTGAAAGAATCCCTCACTTCCCTGTCCAAGGTAGTCTTACAAAATAGGAGAGGGCTTGACATACTCTTTCTCGAGAAAGGGGGCCTTTGTGCGGCCCTTGGTGAAGAGTGCTGTTTTTATGTCGACCACTAGGGAGTCATAGAAGACTCCATGGCAAAACTAAGGGTTAGGTTGGACAAAAGACATAAAGATCAAGAGGCCCAACAAGGATGGTTTGAGGGTTGGATCAACAAGTCCCCGTGGTTAACCACTCTCATTTCCACAGTCACAGGCCCCCTTATTATCCTCCTCCTAATTTTAACTTTTGTCCAGTGCATCCTCAATTGGTTGCTGCAGTTCATCCGGGACCGGTTGTCCATCACGCAGGCCTTTGTGCTCACCCAACAATACCAGGGTCTCAGGGACGGCGCTGACCTTTAGATTTTAGGATTAAAATCTCTCCAAAAAGAAAAGGGGGGAATGAAGAACCTTAAAAATCAAACCAAGATGGAGTGACTTAAGCTAACACTATTAAAAACAAGAAGTCATCTTTGCCCCAAATAAAATTAAAGTTTTAAAATTATAGCCCTAAACTTTTCCCCCCAAAGCTAAAATTAGGTGCAGCTATAAAAATAAGGGACCCTATGCTTAACTAGCTGCGACACTTGTGCCTGGCTGTGCTAAGACCTAACACAGTTTGTATGCCTCCTAATACTCAAATAACGGTGTGGGAAGCGGGATGCTGCTCTCCCTCCAGGGGAATGAAGGGAGCGAGGTCGTCCCCCTCAGGGTGAACAAGATGACGCTGATAGGGAAAGGAACTGCTAAAGAAGTAAACAACAAAATGGTGACAAGGTGCATGCCTCCCATGTGATCCCATAGCTGATTGGATAGAAGACGCATGCCCTTCACATGATCAGCTCACGGATTGGACTGCTGTGTGCATGCCTCCCATGTGATCCCGTAGCTGATTGGATAGAAGACGCATGCCTTTCACATGATCAGCTCACGGATTGGACTGCTGTGTGCATGGACACTATAGAGCTTTTGATTGGTCGCTGCGGGTATATAAACTGTGTGGCTTTGTGCTGGGGGCCCTCTCTGGACTCCCAAGTTCAGGAGGCCCATCTGCGCAGATGCCGAATAAATCCTCTTGCTTTTGCATCAGCTGGTCTGGACTCTGAGTCTTTGGGGTGTGCCTCTCGATGTGTTAGCATCCTCACTCTGAGGGTCTAAAAATTTCAGCCACTTTATAATACAGCACCTGTTCAGTTTTTAAAGAAGGCATTTGATCCCATTATAAAGCTACTGCCCAATTTAATGCAAAGCCAAATTAGCTTAAATGAAGACTGGGACAAGGCCTAGAGAGACTCTTTCCATTCCTGACTATCAAACTCCAGCCCCATAGGGAAGTGCCTGAACATCTGTACAGATTGATGCTGAATTGAATCAGAGCTATCATTTTTTTTCTCATGTTAACACAGTGTGAGGTATTGGGAAATGATAGTTCTCTCATGAAAGGAGTAGAAGGACCAAATTACAGAAGTTAGCTACACTGGCCTTCTGTCTGGAGCGACACACCTGAGCAGGGACTCCTAAAGTAAGGGTTGAGTATTGACCAAAACAAAGCTGGGCTGCACCCAGGAGGAAAAGGAAACCTATAGGCAAGGAGTCAGGGAGAACTCAAAGGTGCAGATGGACACAGTTAGAGGTGTGTGTGTGGTGGGAAATTATCGAGTTGAGGCCAGATCTAACACAGAGAATCTGAAAAAAATATCATAAACATTCTTGGTCTCATATCTGACCTTCCTAATCTTGTTAAAGTTGCCTTTTTGGAAGCTTAGATCCAAATATCTGGCCGACCTCGCAGGAAGTCACAGGCATATTTGTGCACTGATCTCTCTCTTGGCTTCTGTTGTAGTTTTCCATCATCACAGGACCAAATTACCACAAATTAATGGCTTAGAGGCAATTATTATCTTACAGTTTCTGTGGGTCAGAAGGCCGAGCATAGCTTAAGTGGGTCTTCTGCTTAGAATCTCATAGGCAGCCATTAAGATTCCAGCTGTGTTGCAGTCACATGTGTAAGCTTCCCTGGGGAGTTCTCCACTGCCAAGCTCATTTGGGTTACTAGCTTCCATGCTGGTCTCATTGAGGTCCTCGGCTTCTATAGGCCACCTGAAGGGTCTTTGCCATGTGGTCCTCTATCCAGGCATTTCACACATCCTGAGTGCTTTTGACTTCTGCCAGCCTCTCCTATCTCCATAAAGGGTTGTCCTGTTTAGGGAAGACCTGTCCAATATAATCTCCTAAAATTAAGTCCTGTGATTAGTAATTTTGATTACATTTGAAAAACCCCCTGTCGCTCCCCCTCTTCATGGAGGAACGACACTAAACCCTGCCTAGGCTTCATATCCGAGTCACGGCACCATTATGTCGCTCCCCGTCTTCGTGGAGGAACGACACAGGACCCTGCGTTGTTCTTTCGTCTGCTCAGCCCTCCCCGGGTTTGCTGCTGGTTCTTCCCGGGTTGGCTACCATCCCTTCCACCTCCGTGGAAGGGCGGTTCCCCCTGCCACCTTCCCCACTTCCGCGGGGAGCGGCACACCGCCGGCCAGCTCTCTCGGGGGCTGCACAGGTGTTCCTTCAGATAGATGTTCCTGGTGCATGTTGTCTCTCTCCTCCTTTATAGTCCTCTTCCACCAATCCCAACTCTGCTACCCACACGCCGAGTACGCTGCTCTCCTCTAATCAGGAGCAGGTCCTACAGTTTATTGGTTGAACTGGAGGCAGCTGTGTAGAAGCTGTTCCTCCCTTCTCAGCGCCATATTGTGGGAGAGCAGATGCATAGAATAAGTCTTAATTCCAGTAACTTAGTCTAGTCCGAGTTGCTCCCCACACCCCCCTCAGAAAAGTACCTAGATATTCCTCTCCCACCTATGACCAGCTTTGAATTTTTGTGTTGCGTTTCCATTTTATATTTTTAAAATTATTAATTTCCTTTTTTAAAAAAGATATATTTATTTCAAAGGCAGAGTTACAGAGAGGCAGAGAGAGAGAGAAAGAGACAGAGAAAGAGAGGTCATCCATCTGCTGGTTCACTCCCCAGATGGCCACAGCTGCTGGAGTTGTGCTAATCTGAACTAGGAGCCAGGAGCTTCTTTCAGGTCTCCCAAGCAGCTGCAGGGGCCCAAGGACTTGGGCCATCTTTCACTGCTTTCCCAGGCCATAAGCAGAGAGCTGGATCAGAAGTGAAGCAGCCAGAAATTGAACTGGTACCTATATGGTATGCCAGTACTGCAGACAGCAGCTTTAACCACTACACCACAGCGCATGCCCCTTAGTTTACTTTTGACGCATGTTTTCAGTATTGAAATTCAGTATGTTTCTATGATGAGTATATTATACTTTTGAAATATACTCATCTTAGAAACATACTGAATTTCAATTTTAGGGAGACTTGAATCTACATAGTTTCACAAGAGGCAAAAGGGGAGGTATGAAATCCTTAATGTCAATGTACTTAAGACTTTATAAATAGAAAAGGATTATATGTTCAGTTATGTGAAAATAAGATGCCATAAAATGGAGATTTATACCGAGTATCAGAGGGGTCATTTCTTATTGAATGAATAAGGAGGGCATCATTTAAGTGGCAGTGTGTAGATCTGACAAGATAGGTAGGAAGGCCATACAGTTTTCTTATGCAGGATAGTTTTTAGTTGCTAAAGAAAGGCAGATTCAAGGCACTTCAGGGCATGTTTGGTCTCTTGGGGGTTTATAATGAGTTTTTTCTTGTATGTGAGTAAAATAGAATGCTAATATACGCTAAAATGTCATCTAGTGTTACTTTTGATACATTCTACTCATTATAAGTGAGTCCCAAACTCTCAAGATTCAACAGGAGGGGAACTAGATTTTAGGGATGTAATGAAGACAGAGGCTGGAGTGCCTGGGTTTATGACCCAGCTTCACGCCTGAGTCCACCGTCCCAGTAATGCTCACCATAGGAGGCAGCTGTGATGGCTCAAGTAGCTGGGTCCCTTTCACCCATGAGTGTGAAGTCCCTTCCACCCATTTGGGGAGAAGAGTGTTTTCTCTCTATTTGCTTGTCTCTCTCTCTCTTGGCCTCTCAAGTAAATAAATAATTTTAAAGAATTATAAAAGAGCACAGAGAATGGAAGGTGATGTTATTGCTGTCTTTGGTCTATGAAATCTACATAAAGAAGTCAGATTTAACAGAGAAGCATAAATCCCATTTCAAAGAATGCACACATATTTAACCAGTGAAAACAGGAAAATCATGGCAAGGACCCCATTTTGAAGAGTTTGACATTTTCATAAACATTGTATTTATGGTGGTTTGTCTTTTTAAATGAATGGATTTTTTTAACTTTTATTTAATGAATATAAATTTCCAAAGTACAGCTTATGGATTACAATGGCTTCCCCCCCCATAACGTCCCTCCCACCCACAACCCTTCCCTTTCCCACTCCCTCTCCCCTTCCATTCACATCATGATTCATTTTCAATTCTCTTTATATACAGAAGATCAGTTTAGCATACATTAAGTAAAGATTTCAACAGTTTGCTCCCACACAGAAACATAAAGTGAAAAATACTGTTTGAGTACTCATTATAGCATTAAATCTCAATGTACAGCACACTAAGGCCAAAGATCCTACATGAGGAGTAAGTGCACAGTGACTCCTGTTGTTAACTTAACAATTTAACACTCTTGTTTATGGCATCAGTAATCACCCTAGGCTCTTGTCATGAGTTGCCAAGGCTATGGAAGCCCCCTGAGTTCAATGACTCTGATAATTTTAGACAAGGCCATGGTCAAAGTGGAAGTTCTTTCCTCCCTTCAGAGAAAGGTACCTCCTTCTTTGATGACCCGTTCTTTCCACTGGGATCTCACTCACGGAGATCTTTCATTTAGGTTTTTTTTTTTTTCCCCAGAGTGTTTTGGCTTTCCATGCCTGAAATACTCTCTTGGGCTTTTCAGCCAGATCCACATGCCTTAAGGGCTGATTATGAGGCCAGAGTGCTGTTTAGGACATCTGCCATTCTATGGGTCTGCTTTGTATCTCACTTCCCATGTTGGATCGTTCTCTCCCTTTTTTATTCTATAAGCTAGTATTTGCAGACACTATTCTTGTTTATGTGATCCCTTTGGTTCTTAGTCCTATCATTATGATCAATTGTGAACAGAAATTGATCACTGGGACTAGTGAGATGGCATTGGTACATGCCACCTCGATGGGATTGAATTGGAATCCCCTGGTATGTTTCTGACTCTACCGTTTGAGGTAAATCAGCTTGAGCATGTCCCGAATTGCACATCTCTTCCCTCTTTTATTCTCACTCTTATATTTAACAGCGATCACTTTTCAGTTAAGTTTCAGCACTTAAGAAGAATTGTGTATTGATTACAGTATTCAACCAAAAGTATTAAGTAGAACAAACAAAAAAAAATACTAAGAGGGATAACATATCAAGTTGTTCATCAACAGTCAGGGTGAGGGCTGAAGCATACTTATGTTTGTATGTCTAGAACTTAAAACGATGGTTACAGAATTCAAATATTAAATTCATTTACAGACTATAATTTTGGAATGTTCAGATGGAAAACCTGGAAAGGAATTTAAAAACGAGATTCTAATATTTAGGAGAGTTGCCAGGGTTAGAGATTTTGGGAAGCGTTTCAACATAGAGAGTCTGTGGACTTGCTAGTAAAGGCCAGCTCTCTCGTCTGGGCTTTCTGTGACACAGGAATGTCTGAATCTGGGTTTCTACATGACTGTGATGCTATTTGTGGTTAGTTTTGTCTGGTTAATTTACTTTCTTTTCTTCCATCGATACTCACCATAATTCTTTAGGAGGCTATGTTGGTACCCTGGTGAGAGGCCTAACTCAGGGCTCAGGCTCCGCTCCTTGAGGACTGAGGACTCCACAAAGACAGAGATTGGCCATCATATTGCTGCTGTTAGACAAAGCAGATTTGGTTGAGAGTGAGCTTCATCCTGAATCCTGGCCCTGTTAGATATTGCTGTGTGACCTTGGCCCAGTTATTAAATCTTTATGAGCCTGTGTTCTCATCTGTAAAATTGGGGAAATAATGCCTGGCAAAAATTATATGA